TAATGCACGAAAATGCAGATTCCTACGGGGCCAGAGACATAGGATCCCCTGGAGCTGGAGTGACAGGCGGTTTTGAGACACCCATTTATGGGTGCTAGAAACCAAGCTCAGGTCCTCTCCAAGAACAGTAAGTACTCTTGACTGCTGAGCCATCTCTCCAGTCCCTCAAATTATTATTGTTGTTGTTGTTGGCTTTTAATTTTTTAGATATATCTATTTACCAATTTGCGTGTGAATGTTTTGCCTACAAGCGTGTGTATGCACCATATGCTTGTCCTAGTTGGATTGCCCGGAACTGGGGCTATGGATGGTTGTGAGCCAAGTATGAACCTGAATCTTTAGCAAGAGCGATAAAACAACAAGAGCTCTTCATCCCTGAGCTATCTCTCTCTGGCCCACCCAACCCTCCCCTTTTGGTTTTGGTTTTGGGCTTGGTTGATTTTTTGTTGTTTCTTTTTGTTTTGAGCTGGCATGGAGCTCAACATGATCAGGCTGCCCTCCAACTCTTAAATACCCACATGCCTCAGCATCCTGAGTGCTGGGGAGATGGCTCATCGGATAAGAGCACGGGCTGCTCTTCCAGCAGTCCTGAGTTCACTCCCAGCAACCACAGGGTGGCTCACAATCATCTGTAATAGAATCAGATTCCACCTGGTGTGCAAGACAGAGCACTCATATACATGAATAAATAAATCTTTACAAAAAAGTGTGCACCTCCATGCCTGGCTTATTTTATTTTTATTTTGTGTATGAGTGTACTGCACACACACACACACACACTTGTGCATACACGTGCGTCATGTGCATACTTGGTACCCTGGGGGACCAGAAGATAAGATCTGTTCCCTAGAACTATTACTGCTGCTGTTCACAAATATCTTGATGACTTAAAACAACACGCATTTTTATATTACAGTTGTGAAAGACAGGAGTCTAAAATGATTATTTCTGAGCTGAAGTCAAGGTGAGGACAGGAGCCCTTCAGGCCTCTGGTGCAAAGCTGTTTTCCATCCTTTTAACAGCTTCTAGAAACCACCCTAATTTATTCACCTGTGGCCACATCCCTCCGGCCTCTCCTTGCATCTTCTCGTCTCCTTGCCTGACTCTCATCCTCCACCATTCTTCTTACAAGGAGCTTGTGATTATGAGGGATCCACACCCATCAGGATGTTCTCTTTGCCTCAAGATCCTTAACCAAGAGCTGGGTGTGGTAGCACACACTTTAAACTCAGCACTCAGGATGTAGTCAGACTTCTGTGAGTTTGAGTATAGCTTTATCTATTTAGCAAGTCCCAGGCCAACCAAGGCCTTCTAGTAAAACCCTCTCACCACCTCCCCAAAAACAATCATTAACAGAATCTCATCTTCAAAGTTTCCTATGGCATATAAGGTTCAGAGGTTCTGGGAATTAGAACTAGAATATATGGGTCTATGTATAATATATATGTGTGTGTGTGTGTGTGTGTGTGTGTGTGTGTATAATGATATATGCTGTCACATAGTATAATTGTACATATGGCATATTTATATGTATATATGAATATTATACACACACATCATGATGGTAGCCTAGATGAAAGCTCCTGTGCATTTTATGAAAGTTACAATATGAAGCATAGATATCCTATGAAAACTTTACAATAACCTGTAAGGAATGTAGTCGTATAACTTTGCCATCTCTACTGAGACACTCCAGGGCAAAAGGTCCTATTAATTAAAAATAGCATATACCTGTAATCACAGTACTTGAGACAAAGAGGAGTTCAAGGTCAGCTCCAGCTATATAGCAAGTTCAAGACCATCCTGGGCTACATGAGATCCTGTTTGG